CTCTGTATCGGCAAGTACTCAGATCCAAGTATCGGTATCGTATCGGTTTGTAAAAATTGGTATCGTTGCATCCCTATTTGTGACTGGTTAAAATTTTCAGTGCACTGCAACTTTTAATGTTTATTTAGTGAGTGTATTTGAATTATTTCTGGCTGTTAAATTAAGCATCATATCAACTGACGACAACACAGGTGAAGCTTTGGCTGCACACCTCGTCGTGCTTCAGGTGAATTTATGTCAGGTGAACATTCACGTCCTGACTGATGAAGCTTCGCTTGAGCTGCTATTATGTGTAATAAACCAGCTTCCAACTGAATATTAACACATAAAGGAATGGAAAATGATTTAGAAATATAATTAGATGGTTGATTTTCTTCCACAAAGGCTAATATAGTGAAAGAACGAAAACAGAGCAGGACTCAAACTGATTAAGTTATTCTAATTTCTTTCACTTTTTCACAGATTTACTAAACTCAAGACAAGCAGAGCGTGAAAAGAAGATGACAAAGGCAGACCACTACCCCCCAAACCACCTTTTGATGCAGGGGCAGTTCATCTGGATTTTTCACTACTATTTCATCATCGTCATCATCATCCCCTCCTGCAGCAGCCATAACTGGTGAGGGTGCAATACCCTGGGCGTACTTCTTGGTCATCTCAACAAAGTCATCAAGACCCACATGGGAACTGGCTGCAAAGAAGTACAGAAGAAATATTACTACTTTTATTTTACTCTGACAGGTCTGTAGGACACTTTGGGCTTGGGGAAAGGACAAATTGTGCATGTTTAATCCCATTAGAAGACACATTTCAGACCACACATACCCTCACTGGTGACCATAGTCTCCAAGACTCTCCTTTGTTTCTTAGCAGACCTGTTTAGGGGACCAGGGGAAACTGGTGTGTCTGCAGAGGGTAGAAAGTATAATTTAAAAAAATGAATGCCTTCAAAATGTAAATGATTTGAAATACAGTATTATTCCTCTCGGACCCGGCTCTGTGTTAACATGTTCAACGTTCTCTAGCATCTCAGAAACGGGCACCGACTTCTTCCTCTCTGGGTTTAACTTCCAGTACATGAGCAGAGCTGCCTTCCTCACTCCTCTCTCAAAACGAGTCTCTGTACACAACTTCTTCACCTCCTCAAAGTTTTCCAGTGTGATGCCTGAAGAACAAATGAGGATGAATGCACAGACAAACATTAGCTCAATCATGCTTCAGTTTCACACTGGTTCCATTCTTCTAAAAGCTGTGCACTAAGAGTAGCAGTCATACCTTTCCTGGAGGCCAAACACTGCTGCAGCAGTCTGACCGCATCCTTGCGGCCCCGTTTAGCAGCCTGGACGAGCCAAGTGACCGCTGTGCAGTTGTTCAGTTCTTCATCGCTTTCTTCTGCCAATGCCAGGAAGTAGCGGCCCATCTGTGCAGACACACACAGACTTTTAGACTTGCAACACAAGCATTACTGTGACTTAGTGACCTGTCCGTCCTATCAGCATGTCACTCTAAAATAAAATGTATAATTACTTAGCTCATATGCTCTGTCATCACCATATGGCGACTAAAGTCCACAGTGTCTGCAGTATAATCATTGCCACTAACCTTAGTCTGTGCTTTGGTATCACCTGACTTTGCTCTCTCCTCCAAATCCTCAAAACTGACCTCCTCCTCTGGCTCCTCTGAAACAGAAAATACATTTTCAAAATCCATCCAGTAGATTTTAGGGCTCTTTCAAATCTTT